GCCAAGAGTGGCAAATTTTAAATAGGGTAACCGGTTACTTCAAGCGCAGTTTGTCAAAATATTTGAATTTTCAGCATGTGCAATTTCCCAATCATTTTTAACCAATGATTTCACTTGATCATATTTGGAAGGATCTATATTTGTTTCAACTTTCACCATTTCCCTCCAAATTTCAAACACTTCATTCCTAATTGCACTCCTAATTTCCATTCCAAATGTTATTCCTCATTCCAAACCACATTTTGATTCCAAAGCTAGAGCTTATTTAAGTGAATTTGCTCCAAACCTCATACAATTATCTTTCATTTTCAGATTTCACACTCATTCTTGAGAACTTGCTCTCAATTTTCTCTCCATTTTTTCACTCCCCAAACCTCCATTAAAGCTTTTTCACTTGACTTCTTTAATTCTTCATTGGAATCATTGAATTCTAGAGCTAAATCTCCATCATTCATCTCCATTATCTTCAACTCATCACTCAATTTTTGTTTGGTTTTGGATCTGAATTTGGAAGCTAGATTGGAAGTGCTTTTTGTATCATTTTTGCTTGATCTTCATTTCTACCATAAGGAAGCTCTTAGATCTTGAAGAATCTATGGGTTTCTTGCTTGGATCTGCTAATTTCAAGTGAATCAACACTCACCAAAGCAAATCTCCGGTTTGAAGGTTGGCAATTCTAGATCTAATTATGTTTTGAACTTATTTGGATAATCACAATGTAGATCCATGGTTTTTGGTGTTTTTTTGATCCATTTTGATGATTTGGATCTTGGTGATTTGTGATGTCAATGCTTGATTGTGTTTACATGATGCTTGATCACTGTTTCTTGATGATAATTTCGTGCTTGATTGATATCATGATCATATGGATGATTGAAGAAGTTGTTTAATGTTGAAAACTGCTTTTAAAAACTGATTTTCTGCTTCTGGTTCAGTGGTAACTGATTACCTTATATAGGGTAACCGGTTACCCTATCAAATTTCACGTTTCTGGGCTGTTTTTATCAAGTAACTGGTTACCTTATATAGGGTAACCTGTTACTCTGGGCAGATTTGCCTATTTTTTGCATTTTCCATTTTTTGCATTTTTTTGCTTGTTTGAGTTCCTTTTCACATGTAAACTTCATGGATTGATATGATACATTTATGTGATTTATTTTGGACATATTTCATCGTTCTTGAATGTTTGATCTCAATTCTTTGACGCGTAACTTTTGGTTTCCGTTTTGAATGTTTAACATGTTCATGTGATTTGTTTGGTGAATGATCATTTCACTTGTTTGTTTTTAGCATGTTAATAAATGATCATTAATGCTTGTTTCTGGATATTATGATGCATGATTTCATTTGTTTCCATTTCCACTTCGTTGCATGTTTGTTTGATCGGTTGACCGTCCAATTTAATTTGAAAAGAACATGTTGATCTTGATGATTCTTGTTGATGCACTGTTGTTGATCGATTATGTTTGATTGTTCAAGAATGTCCATTGTTGCATGATGTCTACCCATGATTGGTGTTTGTTCTTGATTAATTGCATTCAAGCTTGCTTGCTTCATACTTTCCACATATATCCATGCTTTGAACTTGCATGCTGTCTTTGCGTTACTTGCTTGCTGCCTGGCTTTTCACACCTGTTTTTATGTTGAAACATGTGCTGTTATATGTTGTCTTGCTTGTGTGCTAGATTTTATTGTTGTTTTGTGCAGGAGGCGTTGTTGTAGCTGTTGTTTTTACCTTGTTTTCTTGCTTTTTGCCTCGTCTTTGCATGTTCCCTTAGGACTCTTATTCCAACTTAATTTCCTATTGAATTTGGAGTAAGATATACATTAGGATTTTAATACAAGCATGATAACAAGTAGGTTAGTCCCTTTTAACCTCAATCTTAGGTCCATCTTTTGCATGCTAACATTAGGATAAAATCTCCTTTCGCATCCCAACTTTAGGACCACTTTGCATGACAATGTTAGGGCCGAGTTTCCCCTTAGACCTTTTGTGGGTCTCTCTTTTCATCTCAAAACACATTCTAACTCATCTAATAAATACGATGAGCATTGTACGCTATGAGCCTTAAGCACATGGGAAATGATGAGTGAGAGGTTTCTCCTCACTTGTCTAGAGTGTTTAGTGTATGCCTTTTAGGCGATATGCGACACATTCGCTCCTATGTCATAGTCTTTAGTGCAACGTGAATCACAAAGCAAACTAATTCACTTCACTAAAACTCACAAACAAAACTCAAACCTTTTATCCTTCAGGATCGTTGTTTCAAACTCCATTTTCAGAAAGGGTGCGTTACTTTTTCGTTCTACTGCAGACATGCATCGTCCCTAACTTCTGGAATGGGAACTTAGCGTCACTCATAAAAAACACTTAACCAACCTGTGGTTTCATTTACCCGAACTAAGTTTGCTCTGATTTCTCATACCAGATGAGGATACGTAGACACAAGACGACGATGTCTTGGTGAGCAACCCTTCCCCCATCACCCGTAGTTTTTCGAACTACGTTGACTCTGACTTTCCCATTGCACGAGGGAATACATAGGCATAGGGCGATGATGTCCTATCGAGTCTCTTTCTTTTTCTTTTGCTCTCGTTTCCGTTTAGCAGTAGCTTATAGATAAACACACCCTTTGATTAGACAACAAGCATGGATCCCGTTAAGTACAACGGACGTGAGGGGTGCTAATACCTTCCCCTTGCATAACTGACTCCCGAACCCAAGATTTGGTTGCGATGACCTTGTCTTTTCCCGTTCTTCAGGTTTTCTTCGATCATTTCCTTTCCCTCTCTTTGGGATAAATAACGTTCGGTGGCGACTCTTCTGTTTTTTCAATCGGTGTTTTTCGCAGTTGCGACACTGCTATGCTGAATGGGATTTTTTAATATGTTTATGGCACTCAGATTGTCACAATACAATATCATGACATCTTGCTTGACATTCTATTCAGTCAACATCTACTTCATCCAAACTAGCTGAGAATAACTACTTCTAGCTGCTATGTATTCAACCTTAACAATAGACAAAGATACACAATTTTGCTTCTTACTAAACTAGGATATAAGATTATTCCCCAAGAAGAAGCATCCACCTGATGTACTTTTCCTATCATCAGCACTTTCTGCCTAGTCAGCATCACAATAGCCAATTAACATAGAACCAGATCCATGGGTTCAGCCTAATATCTGGCACACACACCTACAACAAATGCAATATCAAGTCTGTTTGCTGTAAGATATAAAAAGTTGTCTATCATGCTTTTGTAGAGACTTTGATCCATATTCACACCCTTTTCATCCTTAGATAGCTTCAAGTGAGTGGGAGCAGGAGTTCTCTTGTGACTGGCATTCTCCATCCCAAACTTCTTTACTATATTTTTGGCATATTTACTCTGAGATATAAATATAAAGTCTTCCATCTGCTTGACTTGTAGACCAAGAAAGAATGTTAATTCACCTACAAGACTCATCTCAAATTCTGACTGCGTTTGCTTGACAAAATGTTGCACCATCTCATCATACATCCCACCAAAAACAATGTTATCAACATAAATTTGAGCAATCATCAACTTTCCACTTTCTTCTTTGACAAATACAGTCTTGTCTATTCCCTCTTTCCTGCACCATTCTCAACCAAGAATTCTGTCAACCTTTCATATCATGCCCTTGGAGCTTGCTTCAACCCATAAAGAGCTTTCTTCATATTTGTATACATGATTAGGAAGACTTGGATCAACAAACCCCTTAGGTCGTTCAACTGAACTTTGAACTTTGAACACTGTAGAACTGAGAATCAGATTGCAGAGATCATGACGAAAGGAGTGCAGGTCGAAGTGTTCAAAAAATTAAGATTTATGATGAATATAAATAACTTAGACACAATGAATTAGGTGGTGTGTTGAGAATGTAATTCCTTGCGTTGAAACATGTTGCTCGACAGAAGCAAGGATATGTCAAAATGCATGTTACTGTCGAAATTGTGTAGATTTTGAAATGTCGAAGTATGTCTCGACAAAATCGTAACTTAGCTTTATTTGTTCGTTTTAATTGAGTTAGTTAGGGTTTGCTTGGTGTGTAAACAACCTCAGCCTATAAGTAGGGAGTAACTCTATTATTGCAAAGTGTGAAAAGTAATGCAGTTGCATATAAATAAAGAGTTGAAGTTTCTCTGCAACTGTATAATTCTTCTTCCTATACTTTTCTCTAAAACCCTAATTCTCTTTGTTTTTTTAGTTCATTTTTTCTTCTCTCATTGTCGATTGTACAACAAAATAATCTTGCAACCAATGTTAGTTAATTCACTTAAGCGAAGAGTGAAGAACAAAATGAGTAATCAATCATAAAGGTTGACTCTTGTTGATCAAGATTGATTTAAAATTTTTTATAGGTTTGATGTTATTCCAACAACAATCTTCTAATCCTTTACAAATACAATTAAATAGAGAATCACACTTCTTAAATAAAATAAATTAATCATAACACTAATTACGACACAACTTTGACAAAAAAATTTCAATCTTTTAACATTACGATAAATCTTATAAAAAACAAAATAAAAAACACCGACTCACTTATGACTCAATAATATTAATTAAATAGTATAACTAAAAAAAAATTCATTTTGGGGAATTTCTTTATACATGTATGATAAGTATTTTTGGCCGGCGGAGAGAATTTGAACCATTTACAAATTAGAGTCTTACTTGTGATATGTTATTATATACACACAAAAATAGACACTTTTTTTATATATATTTAAAAATACACTTGTATGAAGACACCAGTATCATTTCTAGAACTTCAAAAGTCACTAAATGAATCCAATTAACTTAAAAGGAAAATATCAAACTATGACACATGAAAAGAACATAAATATATAAAGTTGATGTATTTAACATAGATCATTACAACTTAATATTTTGACAGTATAATTTATGAACATATGTCTTATACATTAATCAAAACTCTTAAAATTAAATCATACATCAAAACCATGTCTCTCATGAACTACTTTCAATCTCAACTTTACCCATTTCTTCATCATCAATTTTCTTCTCCTTGCTCAAAATAAAAGCTTTCTTCTCCATTTTCCTCTCTTTGCAATCATTGAAATAAACCACACAAGCCACCCATTTCAATGTATTCACCACACTAAGAACCCCAATTTGTAGAAAAATTCCACTACCTCCTCTATAGCATTCAAAGTAGACACAAACCAACCTTAACAAACCTCCAAAAACAAAGAAAACAAGCATCAAAACAAGTCCTCTCTTCTGATTACCACTGCTGAAGTAACAAGAAACTCTCAAAGCTCCAATCCCATAAAAACCCTCCAACACTGATATCACAATACTCATATCCCAAATAGCACTCCATTCCAAATACACCATCAACAATTTCACAATCGCTACAAAACAAATCATTCCAAAAATCATGTAGCACCAAAAAGTACTAGCCAAACTGTAACAATTACTCACCACCCATGGAAATGCAACCAGAAGACAATTTGATAATACAAGTGTATACAAAGAAGTCACAAATGTTCCTTTCATGGTTGATAAATCAACCGAGTTCTGAAACATGTGTTTCAAACTCATTTTGGTTTTCTCTTCTGAGCTTATTATAAGCTTTGAAGCTAGATCCATAGTTAATACTTTAGACAAGAATTCTAGAACATGAAGAGGGATAGAGTAGATGAATCCAAGTTGAATCAGAAGAGGTAAATAATAACTGCCAAAACTTGGGGCATTAACGTATGGGACATCAATGTATGGTTCATCATAAGAATGCAAGTAAATTGTAGTTTGTTTTTCTCGGAAAGGTAAAGATGAGATGATGTCTGGAGTTTGAACTAGGATTTGTTGAAACAGTGTTTCAAAATAAAGCATGAGAAAAAAGAGAGGGAGTGAAGTGAGGAAAGTGAAGATGATGAAGTTGATGTTTTTGAAATAGATGGTTAGAGTTTGTTTGAGGATATCTAAAACATCCATATTCTTGTTCTTTTGATTAATACTAAGAACTTGTTTGGTTTCATTCTCCATTTGTTGAATCAGAGAAAAGTGAATGAAGATTTTGATATACAAGTCATAGATAGATCTTAATATATCTTGATTCTAGCTTCGACGAAATAGAACAAGGATGACTTTGACTTTACATTTATGACATGAAATAATAGTCCTCACTTGGCAGCCTCCATCTTTGACTATAAATAAGACTTTTATTTATATTTTAATTAGGTGAGGACTATTATTGAGAACATTTGTGTATTTATTTGGTGGTTTTTATAAAAAAAATTTATCTTTAATATTTTTAGTTTTTATTTAATTTATTTTACTCTTTTAATTAAAAAATGGGAGATATTAATTTTTTCTTTGTTGTAAAAGCTTCAATTTCTTAAAAATGTGTGAATAAGTAATCATTTTATTTTTTGATGTGTCAAGAAATTAAATAGATTTTAAAACGTGATAGGTTTTATTATTGTTTTTTTAAAATTAAATTTACACTCTCTAAATTTAGAGTATGTAAAACATATAAAGTTACATTCAATATTCTTAGGTAATAAAATGTCGTGATTAAAAATATTGTTTATATATCTTAAAATATGTTTACATTTTGAAATTTAGATACATGCACACAGTAAATATGATATTAGAACGATTTTTAGTTAGATATATTAAAGATTCAATAATATCTTAATATTTGGTGACGTTGATCTCTATTTGTATTTAATCTTTGTCAATTAGAAGATTTTTGTTGAGATATTAGATATAATCTAAATTGAATTATGTGGTCTAAATTCAAAGTTAATTATGATTTAGAATTTGTCATTTAGTTTTTAATTTATTTTACTCGTTTAATTAGAAAGTGAGAGATATTTACTTTTTCTTTGTTGTAAAAACTTCATTTTCTTACAAATAATGAGAATGAGTGAATAAGTAATCATTTTACTTTTTGATGTGTCAAGAAACAAAGTAGATTTTAAAAACGTGATAGGTTTTATTAGTGTTTTTTTAAATCAAATTTATACCCTGTGAAATCAGAGTATGTAAAACATACATAGCTACGTTTAAGGATGACAATGGACAAGGTTTAGATAGAGTATTGTAGTATCTATTTTCATATTTGTAATTTGAAAAAATCTATGTACTCTAGCTCATACCTACATGAGTGCTAAAGTTAGCATTTGTACATGTGTCTTATAGGTGTGTAAGTACCCATAGTAACCCGTGACCTGTATTCCTATTAAAAATAAATAAAATAATTATAAAATATATATAATTTTAAGTTTTTAAAAACTTTAAATAATTTTCAAACAATTTATTGTTGAAATAAACGAACACTTATATTCAATAAGTAATGGTTTAACATTGATATACGTTTTAAAATTAACAGACATAAATTTTTATATAATAATATAAATTAAAATATATAAACATAAATGAAAATACATAAATATATATTGTGCAGGTATGGGGAGGGGTGGATACCAAAGTGTCCATACCCGCGCTCATACCAGCTTATTTTTTTAGGTAATTACCCGAGCTCATGCCCGTATCAATTTTTGCGGATTTTTACAAATGTGTGAATAAGTAATCATTTTACTTTTTGATGTGTCAAGAAATTAAATAGATTTTTAAAATGTGATAGGTTTTATTATTGTTTTTTTAATCAAATTTACACTATAAAATTACATTCAATATTCTTAGGTAATAAAATGCATTAAAAATATTATTTATAGATTATAAAATATTTTTTATAGTTTTATAAAATATTTTTTATAGTTTGAAATTTAGATACATGCATACACTAAATATGATATTAAAACGATTTTTAGTTAAATATATCAAAGATATAATAATACCTTAATACTTGGTGATGCCGATTTCTATTTTCATTTCATCTTTATCAATTAAAAGATTTTTGTTGAGATATTAGATATAATCCAAATTGAATTATGTGGTCTAAATTCAAAGTTAATTATGATTTAGAATTTGTTATTTAGTTTTTTATTTATTTTACTCGTTTAATTAGAAAGTGAGAATGAGTTAATAAGTAATCATTTTACTTTTTTCTTACAAGCTTCATTTTCTTACAAATAATGAGAATGAGTGAATAAGTAATCATTTTACTTTTTTGTTGTGTCAAGAAACAAAGTGGATTTTAACAACGTCATAGGTTTTATTAGTGTTTTTTTAAATCAAATTTGAACTCCGTGAAATCAGAGTAAGTAAAACATACATAGCTACGTTTAAGGATGACAATGGACAAGGTTTAGGTAGAGTACTATAATATCTATTTTCATATCTGCAATTTGAAAATATCTCTGTATTTCAGCTCATACCTGCATGGGTTCTAAAGTTAGCATTTGTACCTGTGTCCTATAGGTGTGTAAGTATCCATGGGTATGGGAAGGGGTGGGTACCAAGGTGCCCATACCCACACTCATACCCGCTTATTTTTTTGGGTAATTACCCGAGCTCATGCTCGTACCAATTTTTGCGGATTTTTACCCTACCCGTTGTGGGTAAATTTGCAGGTGTCCATTGAGGATGAGCCAAATTGTCATCCCTAACTACATTCAATGTTCTTAGGGAACAAAATGACGTGATTAAAAATACTATTTATATACCTTAAAATATGTTTACAGTTTGAAATTTAGCACACATGCACACATTAAACATGACATCAAAACAACTTGTAGTTAAATATAACAAAGATCCAATAATACCTCAATATTTGGTGATGTCGATCTCTATTTTCATTTCATCTTTGTCAATTAGAAGATTTTTGTTGAGGTATTAGATATAATTCAAGTTGAGTTATGTCGTTCAATCACAAAGTTAATTATGGTTTATTATTTAGTTTGTTATTTTATTTAGTGGACAAGTTAGTTGTATATAAATACATAATTTGTAATTCAGTTATATCATTATTCAATTCAATATTACAATCCTTATTGGTTTATTCTCTATCTTTCTTTTCTCACTAAAAGTGCCTCACGCACTAAAAAATTGGTATCTAGAGTTCAAGTTAGATTCTTGATCGTGTTTTCAAGAATCACAAGTCATATATCATATTTCTGGAATTGTGGGTTGTTGTTGATCAATCGCTGCAAAGATGAATGGTAACGGAAATTTATCAAACTCCCTTCTAACTCTTGACGAAAATTGGCTTCGATGGAGAAAACAGATGCAATCTCTATTTGGCTTTCATGAAACCCTTATTGGTGGCATTTTACATCTAATCGGCGATTGATGCGACTAATTTCGACAGAATCGCTCATGCTGAATTGGCGAATGAGGCATGAGATATTCTTGTCAAATACTATGAAGGAGGCGAGAAAGTCAAGGTTGTCAAGTTACAAGCTTTGCAACGACAATATGAATTGTTATCGATGGGAGAAGATGAAAAGATTACAGGCTATGTGTCGAAGGTGCAGATATTCGTCCATCTCATGAATAATTATGGTGAAATCCTAATTGATAAGATGATAGTTGAGATGATAATACGTAAGCTGACCTCTCACGTTGATCACGTTATCGTAACTATTCAAGAATCCAACAATCTCGAAACCCTAAAATTGTAAGATTTGGTTGGTTCGTTGGAGGCGCATGAGATTAGGATTTTTAAAAGAAAGGAGTTCAAGACTCGATACAAGCACTACAGGCTCAGTCATGGAATAATAATGGTTGTTCCAACAAGTTCAAAGGCAAAATCAACAAGACTCAGGGCAAGAATTTTGGTCGAATTCTCACAAGAATAAGGTCGATGATAGAGCTTCCACTATTACAAAATACACATTCGGTAACATAATATTACCATGGTCATTCCTTCCACCGTTGTAATATATGAAACTGGATGCGTCTAATACTTATTTATTTTTTTAAAGTCATTTTATCACAGTTGGTAGACACAACCGTGGTGATAGATTGAGTAGTACATAGTTCAAATCCTGACCTATACATTTTTTTTCCATTTTTCCTATTACAAAAAGCATGTGTCGCTTAAATTCATAAATAAATAAAAATTTAAATAGAGAAACGTTCTTCCTAAATATAATGATGATTGAAAATTTTCTTCAGTTTTCGAGACGGTTACAATGTCATTCAAGAATAACAACCATTGAAAGTAATCATTTCAAGCATTAAATCATCAAATCTTTCATCTTCAACCTCTTTTATAAAGGCAAAGTTTCATAAAATGAATTTACACTTCTTCAAAACTATTCTTCTTAACTACATATAGCAACATGAGTTCTCCGTCTGAAAATGCTAATAGAAATATCTCAACTAAAGTCACCACAATATAACACCATTATCAGCACTCAACTGAGGAGGTCCAACCATCTAGATCGAATGATGTCAGGGATAAAATTAGAGTTATGAAGGTCAAGAAGAAGAAAAAGAAGAAGCTGAAGAAGAAGAAGAAAAAGGTGTCCAAGAAGATTTGTTACTATGATTCTGACGAGGATAGTGAGGAGAGAGTCATAGATTATGAAGATTAATTTGCTGGTAGGGGTTATTGTTAATTTATGTACTCCACCTTCTTGGTCCTCTTAATGAAAATATTTATTATTGTTATATATACTCTTTCATTTATACATTATATATTATTGTTTTACACAAAAAAAATAGTACAATCCAACAAAAATAAAAACAAAAATCGCAATAGTAATGAAAAATAACAATAATAATAATTAATACCTCTCTAACCATTGGTTTCATAAATAAATAAAAAATTGGGAGAGATTTAACCACAGTTTTACTAAAGGACGATTGCAAAAGTGATGTATTATGTCACGATTTTTCTTACTAACCGTGATGAAATGTGATATTTTTTACTATATAAGCGAAAATATCTATCGTTCACTACATAACAATTGTTTCTCTCAAATGAAAATCCTAACATATTTCACTCATCTCTTTCATAACATAACCCTCACATCCATGTCACTTTTTAAACCTTCATATTCGTCTTCACCAATCGCTATGATACTCTTTAATCATATTTCAGGTTTGTTTAGTTTACATTTCTTGTTAAA